TCTCGGACCTGTGAGCGAAAGAAGGAAGCAGTGCCATTATCTGGGCTGGAGAAAGTGGGCAGGTGGAGAAGAGTGAATAGGCTGGAGAGGGAGTGAGGGAGAAGTCGGACTGCAGCCTGGAGGGCAGTGCAGGAACGTCCCGGATGAGATTTCCAGCTCTGTGGGGAGGATATGTCCATAAGCCTAGACCGTGCTTGCTGTGTCCTGGGCAAGGACTCCCAGCAGCCCTCATCTGTGAGGGAGCACATGGTGAGCGATGGGACTGCTGCTATGACTTTAGCAGCTTGGAGCCAAAGCTGGAGGTGATGGTCAAGGTCATTAACCATTGGGGCAGCTGAGGAAGGCACCTCTACATCCTCCATCACTCAGGGCTGCCCGGGGGGGGCAAGTGGGGCAATTTGCCCTGGGCCCCGCAGGGGCCCCCATGAGAGTTTTTCGGGGCCCCTGGAGCGGGGTCCTTTACTTGCTCTGGGGGCCCCAGAGCTTCTTCCGCTCCGGGTATTTGGCGGCGGGAGGTCCTTCCGCCCCGGGACCCGCCGCCGAAGACCCCAGGCCCCCTGAATCCTCTGGGCAGCCCTGCCATCACTTGCTGTCTTTAAATGGAGATGGGATGTCTGGTTAAAAGACACACCAGACTCAACCATGCATTAGTGGGCTTGAGGCAGGTGTCACTGTGAGGTTTTCTGGCCTGTTATGTAGGCGAACAGACTAGATGACTAATGATGCCTTTGGGTACTGAAATCTGTAAAGATCCTGCCAGACCAAGTGTGAGCAAAGCTGGATGCTGGAGCCCAGCTGCTGGTATAAGGAGGACAAGGCTGGAGCCAGGGTGCTCTGCAGGAAGAAATACCATGATCCAGCAGTTCCCACTTATGGAGACACAGCTACCACCCATCTGCGTTCAATGCTGACAGGACTTGGTGGGCAGATTTGGGGGAGGGAGAGGAGCTTTCATTCCGATAGTGGTGAAGCCTTACAATGGAAGGGGAGCAGTATGCAGTACTGAAGTAACTGAATACAAAACCTGGTGGGATGCCTCTCAGACATAGAGGGTAGATGGGTGCATTGGCTATGGGAGAGGAGGATGGAGCCTGGTATCTCAAAGTATCTTGCCAATACAGTGTGTGGTGGTAACACTTTGGGTTTGGTTCGAAGGAAGGACCATGGGAGAAGCTAGCTTGGCTTCCTCACCAATCGCACAGTGGGTCCCAGTTGCTTTGTCAGAGTCCTTCCTTATGGACTGGCAAGCAGGTGCAGTTCTTTCCATCCTGTCTGCTGCTCACTCTGCCCTGGCACATCTGTTGCTGCCTCTCCTTTCCCTGTTCACTTCATTTCCCCTCATGTCTCCTCATTTGCCCTCTGGGCAGTTTGCTCCTCCTCCTCCCCCATAGCTGCACTCTGTGTGACTCAGAGTGGGCATTTGGTGGGGGCTCCATCAGCCCGAGCCCCGCATGCTCTTGTGTTGGAGGCTGGAGCTGGCTGGCTGCAGCCTGGAGTTGCTCCTGCTGCCAGATGAATTGAAGCTATCTAGTCTGGGAGTGAGGAAGTGGGGCTGGCTTCCTAGCAGATGCTGACACTGAAGGGGGATGCGATAAGTCACCTAAAGGGTCTCGCTGCCAAAGACAGGGAGAAACTGGTCAGGGGAGTGTTGGGGGAAGGAGGAGTAACTAGGAACAATGGCACAGAAGAGAGGGCATCCTTTAAACTGCACAGTAAGAGACTTGCTGCTAGTGAGCTGTGAAATCAACTGCAGGGAAGGAGGGACCTGTCCCAGGAGACCTTAACATTAAACTGCCTGGCCTCATAAAGCTCTAGAACCTAGACAGTAGGAGCAGTCCTGCTCTGCCCCCACCGCTCCCTTTAATCCCGCTCCAAGTAGCCTGAGGCGGGCACTAAAGGGTCTGTTCCTAATGGCCAGGTCTGGAATGCCACAGGGCTGGGGTGTTGCTGCAGTTTTGGACTCCAGAATCTGTGTCCATTTTAAACAAGTTTCTGGCCCTTATGCTGTGAAGAGAACTTCATGAAAGTGACCTGTGTGTACCCAATGCAGCGCTGCCTGCCTGAGTCTGCAGAGAGCCTGAGACAGCAGCTCTGAGAGGTGTGAACTGGCACTTGCATGTCACTCAGGGCCCTGTCGGCTCAGACTCCATCTCTGGGGAATTGGGCATTTCCCCAAGATGCCCCAGAATTCAGCATTTCACCCTGGAATCTCTGGTTCTCTGCTTGAGGCACTGGCCCTTTGCTTCCCATTTTCTCTGCTCTGCTGGGACCTGCCCACACCCATTCCCCAGCTTCTCCCTGAGGAAAGTCAACTGAATTCCAGCACATGCTCCCTGTGCTGCTCCATGGGGCTGGGGAGCCAGAGCTGGGGGCTGGCTTCAAGTCAGGGCACAGGGTGGCCCAGCTGTGATGGCTGCCTGGAAAACAGCAACTGTACTGTGCACAGCTGGGGAGATGAGCCCATGGAGCTGGCCCCAGGGTCACTCTTCTCTGGGACACATGGGGGGGATAGAGGCCCAGAGCCAAGTACCTCAAGAACAGCAGGCCAGACAAGGTCTGGGGAGGGGAGCTGGCCTCCTCTAGGGCAGTGAAAACCCCCCAAATACATTTCCTCTCCCTCTGGCTGGCATTACAGGAATGGGGATTTTAAGTGCGGTAGTTCACGACAATAGATAGTTGCTGTGGAAAGTAGTTCCACTGTACCATTGTGCCCTGCTAATAAACTTCCAGGCCTCCCCCACCTATCTCCACTTCACCCTCCCCAGCTTACTCCAGAGGAGGTGAGTCAAGGTAGATCTCCACCTGTCTACGGCATGGTGGGTGCCATGGCAACAGGCACTTCAAAAATACCAGAGCCAGACTAAACTAAAACCAGCTGTTCGTGCCCGCTTTCTAAGGGGCACATGGGCTAAGGCCCAATAAATGGGAGTTTCCCAAATGCACCCAGACCACTTTGGGCTCTGATCTGACCAGCTCTGTCCCGGGGTAGGACTGGTTCAGTACACGCATGGGAGACTGAGGGAAAATCCAGGGGCTGGTGCCTCCAAGACTCTCCTGAAGCCAGTGCCGCAGAAGGCTGCAGGAGTGCTGTCTTTCCTATGAAATATAAAGCCGAGGCCCTGAGCATGCCTAGCTAGTAAAGTTCCCATGGCACTTTGTAAGTGTTGAGAAGTTAATCTGGGTGTCCTGGCCAGATTTCAACTCAAGTCCATCCCCCTGTAGTTACAACTGAATTTGGGCTCATCCTTCTCTTCATGTCCTAAGCCGTGGTGTGGTGCTGCTGTGTACTATTAATAACGTCTGGATGCCACGCTCGAGGTGGGCAAGGCAGTCCCAGCCTGTGAATTACATAAAGAGCAGTGGGATGACAAAGGCTGTCAATGGTTCTGGCAATTACTGTCTTTAACCCTCTCCGATAAGCCCCATATCATAAGCTCCTGTGCCATTGTCTTTGCAGCCAGGGATGTACTGTAGTGTCTCCATCATTGACTGAACTTCCCAGTGTGCTGGAATATGGGTCAGTGCCCTTTGTGAGCGTCCTGCAGGAGCAAAGCTGGGTGTGGGCATGGGGCAGTGGGAGCTAAAAGTCATATATTTTATCACCTTCATTCTCTGCCACAAACTGGCTTGGAGTGGTGCCTTCGTGTGTCACTGTCAGCCCCCTGCTTTCAGCTGGCACTAGCCACTGGGCACCCTGGGGCCTGTGCTGCAGTTGACAGGGTGTAGGAGCCTGATTCCTCTGCCCTGTGCTATGCCACAGAGCAAAGCTGTCATTCGGCATCCAGTGCTCTGGGAACATTTCTGAGCTGTTTTGGTGCCTATTTCTCTAGGTGATTGGGGGGGCGGGAGGTGCATTTGCTACCAGTGGCAGATCTGTTCTCCAATGGGGAGATGGTGAGTGCCAACCCACAATGGGAGTAGGGACCAGCAGGAAGGCTCCAGTCACAGGTGCCAATTCTCCAGCAGGAGATGATGCAGCTGCTACTTGTTCCCCAGTGGGGGAGAGACTGGGAGAAAGGGGACAGCCTTGCACTGCAGGCCAGCCTACCCCAAGCTGGGAACAGCAAGGGACAGACGGATTACACCCCAAGCAGGGGGCTGCAGCTGGCACGCCAGAGTCTGCTCCCACAGCGATCCCCAGGCTTAGTGTGTCTCATACATTTTGCAGGGAAAAAAAACACATTTCCTGGGATGCCAATGAAGTGTATTGGGCTGAACTGACTGGCTGGGCCCATCTTGGGCCTTATGTATGGTGGGTCCAGATGAGACAGATGATGGGAAGACAGCCAATGCCTTCATCACACCAGGACAGCAGGGGGTTGGGGGGGCGACTGACTGACCTCTCTTTCCAATGCCCCTGCCCTCCCTCCCTCCCTCTCCTGCTGAGCTGACAGGTTTGTTTTAAAGAGCCAGGCTTCCTTTTATTGCTTCCCCTATCAGATTGCAGCCAGGCTATGGAGGGTTATTTTTAGAAGTCTGCTTTCTAAAAATAGCCCAGAGCTGTTTAGAATTGCGTCACAAGAGGTAATTTTATCCTGTTTGGCCTGGCTCAGGCCCCCGTTCGCCCCAGGAGGGGGAATACAAAAGGAGGGTCAGTACAGGAGAGGGGGTCAGCGGGTTCAGACTGAGCCAGAGGGGAAGGAGGTAAGAGGCACTTTGCCAGATTCGGACAGCCCATGAGTGGGGCTTTGAGCCCCAGTTATGTGTGCAGGGGTTCTGCCTCCCCTCATCCCATGGGGTCCTGCCAGAGCCCAGGCCTCTCCCTCCACCCAGTGGGGAGCTGGTGTGTCCGTGACCCCCTAAAAGCAGAGCCAGCTCTGGGGCAGCTTCCTGCTGCATGGGGGATGTCTCCTGCTGTTGGATCCTTCCATGCCATCTGGAGCCAGGCTTCAGGGAAAGAGACCAAGAATGGCTGCTCCTTCCCCCCAACAGCAACCCCTCAGCTTCTCTCCCCAGCCCTGCCCCTCTGATGTGACCATGTCTTCATGCAGGCCAGGACAATGACCATCTTCTGTGACCACTGCAGCAGGCCGCTGAGGAAGATGAGCCACCCCCGAGGGAGGAGTGGGATGGAGCCCAGCGCTTCAAAGCCATTCAGGTTAGAGACCATCCTGCTCCCTCTTCTCTCCTTTGCCCGGGTGGACATGCTGTCCCATTACACGCTGCGGGGCTGGATGTTGGCCCTCTTTACTGTACTCTCTGATTCTGTAGAATCAAAGGGCATCACCCTCCTGCCCTGCCCTGTTCCCTTAGCCCTACATGTGAGTCAGGGGGACAGGAGTGAAGGCTATGAAATTAGGCTCTGACTGTATCTGAGCTCGTGGGGCAGAGAACTAGGGTGTTAGCAGTTAGGCGAAGAGGGGCTTGGGGAGAGCAGTGAGGGGGCTGTGGAGGCAAGTAAGAGTCATGGACTGAAGACAGATTGGTTCTCTGTGGGCTAAGTTAAAGGGCTTTAGTTCTTGTGCCAGGCCCCAGTGCCCTGCCCCTTTGGAGTCTCGCTGCTTGGGCTCTTTCCCCAGGTTGTAGATGGATCTTTCTCTTCTCTGTCATACCCAAATGGAGAGAGCAGAGCTACCAAACCATTCATGTATCAGAGGGGCAGCCGTGTCAGTCCGGATCAGTAAAAAGTGACAAAGAATCCTGTGGCACCTTATAGACCAACAAATGAATTGGAGCATAAGCATGCGTCTGAAGTGGGTATTCACCCACGAAAGCTTATGCTCCAATACGTCTGTTAGTCTATAAGGTGCCACAGGACTCTTTGTCACTTTTTACAAACCATTCATGTCACAAAGGTCCTGTGGCAGCCTATGGCTCTATTTGTGTTCCTAGAACCAAAGCCAACCTCACTGTATCTAGGGAATTGTGTCTCCCTCTCCGCCGCAATCTCCTACTTGCTTCTTCAGGATATTCTGCCAAGTGTATTGTCCCTCTGTGCCCAGCTGTAGCCAGGCAGGCTTGGCCTGGGAGCTCCTCCTCAGGCAGGCTTGCTCTGAGCCACACTCCTCTTAGGACAGGATGACACTAGAGGCTTTTGCTGGTGCAGCAGTGCTGGTTAGGGGTGGGATTTTTTGTGCCAACATTTCTATGCTGGGCAAAGCCCTGGTATAGATACAGTGGCATAAAACTCCTTTGACTGGGGGCTCATCTACACTGGCACTTCACAGCGCTGCAACTTTCTCACTCAGGGGTGTGAAAAAACACACCCCTGAGCGCTGCTAGTTTCAGCGCTGTAAAGTGCCAGTGTAGACAGTGCACCAGCGCTGGAAGCTACACCCCTCGTGGAGGTGCGACGACACAAGCCATGTTAAAACACTGCCGTGGCAGCGCTTTAACATTGCCAGTGAAGACGTGCCCTGGGATAGCTCACTTTACTTGGCAAACCAGACTAAGCTATGTGGCAAAAGCCCTTTGCCATTAGAAGCTAGGACAGTTTGCCGGGAATAGCAATACCAGCAAACTTTCCAGTATCGATTAGGTTTAGCCCTTCTCTCCAAGGGCAGGGGTTGGTGTGGGGATCTGAATCATGAGGGGAACTGGCCTGTACTGAGCACCCCTCAATTGTTTGGGGGGCAGGTAATCACGGGGCATCCCAGTGAATGGGGGTCAGTGGTTCATAACAACATTCCAGGCTCAGACTGTTCCAATGCTTTTGTAAAGCGATTGCTTTATCCGCTGGGGCAGAGCTGAAACGCACAGCAAGGCAGAGCTGAAACATGCTGCATGCATGACTGCATCACTTTCCACGGGCTGGCCCATGAGTGATGTGGGGATATGGCTGAAGGCCAGCGCTCAGCAGGGAGATGAACCCATGCCTAGGGACATGCACTATGCCAGCTCTGCAGGCAGCATTGTGTCCCAAGAGAGCGGGGAACTTGCAGGAAGGCCCCACTGAGTGGCTGCTGCCTTTCCTGCTTGTACTGCTTCAGACCCCTTGCCTCTGAGCTCTCGTTTCCTCGGGTTGGTGATTCAAGCCATACCACAGTCTGGTATCCCCAATCTCCCTGCTCCTGTTCCCATCTGGAGCCTTCATGGGATTCTAGGGCTGCATGTGGCTGGGGTGCCACCTCGTGGCCACTTGCTGCAGTGCTCACCTTGGGGGAAGGCGATGGGGCTAAGGGGGATGGATGTGCTTTGGGCAGGTCCGTGGTATCTGCCTGCTGTAGTCCACACTTCTTGTCACTTGCTTTGCATTAAATGCAGAAATCAGAGTTAGTGCACCCTGAATTCTGAGTTGATAGAAGCCTGGATCCAGAGGGGACCTCTGGTTGCCACAGCAGTGATCCCTTGCACAACTTGGTGCTTTGTCACGTTATCTGCCCTGAGTGACTGCTCATGGTTGTCATGGGGACCATGGCTTAGAATTCCCTGACTTGTGTGCAGATCAGATACTCAGAATGGGGCATTGTGTGTTTTATCTGGGGATGGGAATGTCCAAGCCCAATGTGATGCAGATTTTCCCATCACCTGGTAGCTTTTTAATGGAAGTCATGGAGTGGAAACTGTTGCAATGTTTCTCTTCAGCTGGGGTCACATCTGCTTTGGGAAACAAATGAATTACCCCCTTTTCCCTTCCCCAGGGCACCTCCCCGGAGCAGGGACTCCCGCCTTGCTCACAATTTCTAACACTCTGCTTCTCTGCAGGTCGACAAAGGGAGCCTCAAAGGCTCGTCGGGATCAGATCAATGCTGAGCTACAGACCCTGCGCTCCCTGCTGCCCATCTCAGCACAGGAGAAGGAGCGGCTCTCGTATCTCCACACCATGGCTTTGGTCTGTCTCCAAATCCGTGGGGCACAGCTCTTTCCTCCAGGTAAATATCCAGCCCGCAGCTATCCCATTCACAGCCAGGCTGTTGAGTTTCTGCACTCCCAGCAGGTTGCAGAGCTGATCTCTAGCTCCCAGAACCTCCCACTTCATTAGGTCTCATACTTGCTTCAGGTAGGCAGAGCCATACTGTGCATAACAGCTGTTCCCCATACCACGCTCTGGACATGGCTATTGCTCCCACGAACCACGGCACACACCTTATCAAACTGCTTTCTGGTTCCCTTCTCTTCCTCCCCAAGGGCTGCATTTGCAGAGTCATCACATTGCAGAGCAAGTAAGATGACTCATAGACTCATAGACTTTAAGGTCAGAAGGGACCAATATGGTCATCTAGTCTGACCCCCTGCATGATGCAGGCCACAAAAGCTGACCCCCCCACTTTCCCTTAACTCTGCTGTTGAAGTCTCCAGATCGTGATCTAAAGACTTCAAGTTGCAGAGAATCTTCCAGCTTGGGACCCCTGCCCTATGCTGCGGAGGAAGGCGAAAAACCTCCAGGGCCACTGCCAATCTACCCTGGAGGAAAATTCCTTCCCGACCCCAAATATGGCGATCAGCAGAACCCCGAGCATACAGGCAAGATTCTCTAGCCAGACCCTCATTTTACCAGCGATGGCCGTTATTGCCTAATTGATTAGAATCACGTAATCCCATCAAACCATTCCCTCCATAAACTTATCTAGCCTAATCTTGAAGCCAGAGAGGTCTTCCTCTTCCATGACCATGCCTCTTGCTCTGGCATGACTACACCAGGAATAGCCTGTTCAGTTCTGAGCCCCTCATTGCCAGAAAGGTTCCCTCCGTTTGAGGGTGGCTTTCTTCAGACAAGTGCAACAAAAGCCATGGTGTAACAGCCGCAGGTGTTTAAAGGCTGGAAATCTCAAGGAGGGGTGGGCTTCAAGGGGGTGCAACCAGGGTCAATGGAATAAAATGTTAGGAAAGGCAGGTGGAATGTCAGGAAAGGCTTCTGCAGCCTGATGGGTCTGGCCACCTGGAACAGCCTCCCTTGGGAAGTGGGGAACCCTGGCACTCAGGACATTCACACCATCAGAGGTGCTTCCATCACTGTTACTCGGTACCTGCCCCTCCCTGTTTGCGTTACACCCACTCTGGCTGTCTTCAGGGCAGGGACTGCGTCTAACTCAGTGTGCATGTGCAGCACCCAGCGCTACAAGGCCCTGATGCTGACTGGGGCCTCTGGGCACTACTATCATAGAAATAACGACCCAACAGGTGGCACCTCTCTCTTGGCGAGTTGATGTTCCTGCCCCTCCCACTCAGAAGGAACTGCTGTGGAAGCTCTATGCTGCTCTTTTGGTTTTACAGGCTCATCTGGACGTGCTCCTGTCACGATGCCAGATCTGGAGCTCCTGTCCTCATTGCCGGGGTTCATCGTTGCTCTCTCTGCAGATGGCAAACTGGCCTACATCTCTGAGAACGTGGCCCATCTCCTGGGCTTCTCTGTGGTAAGCTCAGATTGTTGCAGGTATAAGGCACCAGCCCACTCTGTTCCCACTCCCCAGTGGCAGGTCAGCAAGTCCTCTGCAGAGCTACAGACTGTTGGGGGGGCTGCTCCCATCACAAAGCTGTTGCTGTTCATGTGCAGTGCCACACCACACACCAGCACACAGCAGCTAGCTTGGCTTTTGTTCAGGGCTGGTTTAGGATAATGAGAACCTGGGCCAGCAGTGATCAACGCTAACTGGCTAACAGCCCAGTTACCCTGACAGTGACAATCCACATGGTTACAGGTGCTAGGCACCCATTGCTCCACCTGGAATCTCTCCATCTGGGCTCTGTTGCCTGCCCCACCCTCCACCCCCATCGCCCTTGCCAGCTGTTAATGGCTGAAACCAAGGACTCTGGCAGCAGCTATTTTTGCTTATGAGCTGTATGCGTTGAGGTGGCAGCTCCATCTGCTGCATAGGTGTCATGACCGCTCCTCTGCTTCAGCTTAGCTGCTGTCTAGCTTTCTTGATACATCCAGCTGATCGATTTGTGTTGGTCTCTGCAGGGTTCCCTGGTTTTAATACTGGGAGTGGGAGAGTGAGGGAGAGAAAGGTGAGGTAAGGAATGAATGAGGGAGCCTGTGCTTATGAACTCAGCAGTCATTCACTGCTCTCATTCACAAAGGGAATGTCAGGCCCATCCCTTCTCCCTGTTCTGTTTCTCAAGGTCAGTTGTAGTTGTCTCCTACCTGTGTTTGGTTGGAGGAACCTGGTTTTTTTTTTTTTTTTTATGTATATTTGTTTCCTAGGGATATTGTTAATATGAGACGTTGTCTGCTGGCTGCTGAAAGTCTGGCCCGTGCTCTGATCCTCTCTCACATGAAGTCCTGAAATTGCTTCCTGCTGAGATCTCTGCTCATCTGTCCACTTTTTTCAGGGCATTCAAACCCACTGTGCACACGGTCTAGTGGCCCAAGGACAGGACTGGGAGACAGGAGCTCTAGAGTTCTAATCTTGGCTGTGACCGTGATATTAGATGCTGTGATACATAAATAAGTACCCCAGTGGCACCAGGCCAGTGTAAGCCAGTTTGTGTCTGTACTAATAAAGTCTCTTTTTGCCCTCTCCTACCAGGTGGAGTTGCTAGCCCAAGGAGACTCAATCTTCGACCTACTAGATGGCTCAGCACATGAGGCCGTGCAGGAGAAGCTCCACTCCGCTCAGGAGCAGCCAGGCACTGGTAAGCCCACGCAGGACTCAAAACAGGAAATACATGGCATGGGGGACAGCTGGGTTATTCATGGGGCTCGAGGCAGGAGTATACACAGGGCTGTGTGATGGGGGATTAGTCCATGTACCAGCCTGTGCTCTGGTGACCTATGCGAAAACCCCCTTCCAGAGGACAGTCTTTAAAAAGATAAACCAATCCAAATGATTGCCACCCAGACCTGCAGATGCTGGAGTGAAGGTCACAGGTACCTATCAGGGGCCCAAATACATTTTATCTCCCAAGAATACTGGGGTAGGTCCACTCTTGAACCAGAATCCACATGGCTTAGTGTGTCCATGTTGAATCATGTTTAAAATCCGTGCACTTCCATTATGTACCCACATCAGGGCTGCTCTAAACCATTTCAGCTGCACTGCCTTCTGGCTGCTTATCCCACAATACAAATACAGCTCCATTAGCCGTGCCTTGTGGGTGATTTCAAAGGTCTTGTTGGGTACTTCATGGTTGCCTTGGAGAATTATGGAAGGAAAGATCAAACTCCCAAAAGTCTCTGGGAAATGCCGAAGAGACTCCTATAAGATCCCTGGGGTCAGTGCCATTTCTAAACTGCTTCCACATGGAAGTCAGGCAGAATGCTTAGCTTACAGTCCTGCTTAAGGAGGGAGAGGACAGGAAGCATGTCTTACCCAGGGTTCATCCCATATGAGTAGTAGCTGAGGCAGTACATCTAGACTGCACATCACTGAGAAATGTGCTATGGTTACTCTTGATTCAGTCTCTTGCTGCCAGGAGTAACTTCTCCCGGGTTGGGTAGGGCTTCCCCTCCAAGCACCCCCCACAGCAAAGTCAGTGTGGTATATTGGGTAATTTCCTCACCAGAGATAGACTGGGATCAAGCAGTTTGTCCCATCAATCTAGCAGCTGCTCACTTCCTAGGAGAAGATGCTGACAATTTACACAATGACTTTTTGTTGCTGCAGAAATTGTGTTTGTCAGTGAAATGCGCACATCCAGATCCTTTCGAGTGAGATATGGAGGGAATCGGGCTGTGGCTGTGAGGGGCCGATTCCTCGCTCTGGATGGGACGACCTCCTCCTCCATCTTAACATTCGTTGGCTTCTGCACTCCCATCAAGCAATTGTCTGACTATGGGGATGGCATTTCTTATGATGCCCCATTCCAGAGCCAGCACACACTGGATATGAAGGTCACTGATGTCACAGAGAGGTAAGGGGTGGCTGCTCTTAGCATGATCTTGACTGAGTCCCTGGGAGAGCAAGAGAGTTCAGATTACAGTTGCACTCCAGAGTACTAATGCCAGCCACAATCCATGCTCTGCAGTGCTGGAGCCAGGTCTCACTCACTGGGATGCACACTGCCAGCCCACCAAACAGATATGCAAGCATTGCAACTATAGACACCCCACATCCCTGCATGCCTCTTCCCCTAACCCAGTACCACTGGGGAGAGGGTCTGTTGCCACCTGCTTCTTCCTGCCCCCACCACCAACAAGGAAAGGACCAGATTATGCCTCTGTGTGCCCCAAAACTCTGAGAGTGGGCAAGTTTTCCCCACCTCTTTCCCTTTATCCTCACATCGGAGAGCCTGTCCTTTCCCCTAGCCAACACTCTCTACTCTAATCCTTCCACCGATGAGAAGCATCTCCAAGAAATGTGTTGACTGAGATGCTGTTCCTTTCTGTTCTTCCTCAGTGTCATTTATCATCTTGGCTATCGGAGGGAGGAGCTGATTGGTCAGTCTTGGTACAGCCTCCTACACCCTACAGATGTTGCATCAGCAGCTGCCCAACATGAGAGCCTGAGTGAGTGCCAAGCTCAGGCTGGGAATGCCTCTACGTATGGGGGAATGAGAGAGATTCTTTAGCAGGTTCTGAAAAGCAGCAGAGTTCACTCTGTTTTATGTTACAACAAACATTGATCTAATCTTCCAAGCCCCTCCCATTGTGTATGGAGCGCTCTCCCTGAGCCTGTCAGCAAGGCCACTGCTCTCTGCCATCCAATCCCTCTTCAAAATCCACTTCTTCTGTGATTCTTACCAGAAATGAGCTAAGGAAGGAGCAGGGGGTTTGGGTTTGGGGCCAGCAGCTTGCTCTGCTCTCCTATAATGTGTGCATTTGTACTGTGCCTGTCACCACCGTACCTAGGCTCTTGGGGCCCTTGTGTGTTCCACTGCCATGAGTATAACATAATTTGACACATATGCTGTTAAGGGCTCTTCCTTTGGGCCAAACCAAGCTCCTTCTTCAGTAATCAGAAGCCCTGTTTTGGCTCTGTCCACAGCATTCCCACGCTGGGGGATGACATGGGGCCTGTGACCCTGCCAGGGGAACAGGACATGGTGCTGTGTACTGCCATCATGGAAGCCCTGATCATTCTGTGTTTGTGATTTCAGTGTGTGACACTGGGAGGTGCAATCAGCACTTAGTGGTTCGCCTGCTCTGCAAAGACCTGAGCTGGGCATGGGTGCAAATCATAGCATCAAAGGAGTATGAGAAAGGAAGAGAGACCATCACCTGCACCAACTTCAGCCTCAGGTACAACCCCTTGTCCTTCCTAAACTATTCCCTAAGGAGCTACCACCTGCCCCCCACTTGTTTAAGGCTCAGTGTGCGGGGCACTTAATAGAACATAGAGCAGAACCAATGTGAATGTGACGGAAACAACAAGATTAAGCATGGTGACTGCTACAGGCCAAAATCAGTATCAGTAATGTTGTATTAGTATCATGGTCCTTACAGTGGTGGCTGCCAGCTGGAGGGGTCTCTGAGGGCAGGGGCCATTAGACTGCCCTGCAAGCTCCTCCTGTCTGGGTAAGCTGCTGGGAGGTTGATGCTGGGTCTCCAGAACCCTGCAGGAACAGACTGCATCCTCAGGGATTGGTGCTTCATCAAGAGGTGGGCGGTTGTTAGGACTTTTGACCCACATGGTCCTAAGCCCTTGTTGACCCCCTTCAGGCTGCTGGTGAATAGGGAGGTCTCTTTCAATGCTTACTTCAGTCCCTGACACATTTTTTTGTTTTCTACAGTGAGGAAGAAGCTCAGTATCTCCAGAGCCAGAATCCATGGCATGGAGTCATCTCTGCAGATGCCCTGAGTCCAAGGCACTATGCCAGAGAAAAAGAGCACAAGACACTGCCAAGAACGCTAAACTCCTTTCCACAGGAGACAGCAATGCCTAACCAGGGGGTACCCAACTATAGTCCCTGCCAGCTCCCTAATGCCCATCAGGAGGAGATGCTGCCAGCTTCCCTACAGCCTTCATTCACCACCTGCTTCCCTGCTGCCACTGTCGAAGCTGGGTTACCCTCCCAGGAGACTGGGTGCTCTATCCTACCTGCTGGGCAGAGGAATCTATCCTGCCCCTTCAGTGTTTACAAGTCACCCTACAGACAGCCCTTCTCCAGTCCTTGTGCGCTCTATTCCCCAGAGGTTCCCCTTTCTCCTGGCAGCAGCCCTTCTATTGATGCTTGTCCAGTCCCTGTAGGAGGGCAGTCCCCAGGCATGTCCTCTGCAGTGTTCCACTCTCCCGAGACAGAAAGATGGGCAATCAGCGTGTTGGCTGAGCAGATCCACTCCCTGGCTGAAAGCCTGTCTCAGTACACAAAGCAAGTGCAACCAGAGACTCCTAATGTCCCCCTGTGTTCTGAGCGACCCAGTGCTGACAGCCAGCTGGGGTCAGGACAGGGCTGGGGCAACTCTGGAACAGCAGCTTTCCTAGCAGAACCCTGTTTAGATGAAGACATCATTACCAGTATATTAAGCAATCTGCTGGAAAATGGGGGTCCAAACTCACCTACCACTGCATGGGGGTCATCACCCACTATCTTGCCTTCAGACTCGCAGGGGGGCCCTCCATTCCGGATACCCATGTCTCCAACAGTCACCTGTCCAGATCAGTGCCTCTTTCTACAGCCTTTGCCTACCTCTGCGTCATTTGACTCCTGTGCACCAGTGTCCCTATGGGATGGGGATCTCAATGAGACTCCATGGTGCACTGCAGCAGAGTAAGTAGGCCCTTGGCTGCGTTTCAATGCCAGAGGTGACAACCCATCTCCGCCCCCTCTTCCGCTCTCCAGTTGCGTTGCAGACTCGGCAGCTTCTGCACCTTCTCTCAGAAGTAGCACTAGAGGTGGGGGAGGGAAGATGGTGTTATCTGTCTTTTGCACTTCCCTGTTATGTAGTTTCCTCCCTTCATTCTGTGGACGGGGACAAGTGGAAGAAAAGCGATGACTAAACGAGGAAAAAAACTTCAGTTCTGTGACCCAAAGATGGCCCTTGTCTCTACCCGGTGGAGACCAGTCAAGGGATGGGTGTAGCACCATGTTCGCTGCCGCTATTCTCAGACACGGGGCACAGGGAACCGGACTGGACGAGTGGCAGATGAGGGCTGTACATTCCTGCCCGAGGCTCCTCAGCTCCTGCTCTGCCCCTGAGCAGTAAAGCTACGCTGGCTCCACCATGAGGCCTTCAGCCGTCCCACGAGCAGCCTCCGCTGCTGGCCACGGCAGGGAAGTGATGGACCCTCTCGGCCCTGGGGCTGGGCATCATCCCCCCAAGGGCGGGAGCTCCCTGAAGGCTTCAGCCATCGCCCTCAGCCGTGGCCGGGGGGAAGGGGAATGCCTCGGCCTGGCCACCCCCCGGCGCACAGGGGCCCCGCCGTCCCCAAGGGGAGCAGCACCGGGCTGTGTACGCGGAGCCCAGAGCTGTGAATAAAGCCTGAGATCCCGGCCTGTGTGTGGCTGTGTGTGAGGGGGGGGAAGGGACATGCCTGAGGGAACCGCTACGGGGGCCGCGCGACGCTCCCTCGCGCCTCTCCCGCCCAAGCGTCGCGTCGCGTCGCGTCCCGTTCCGCCCTTCGGCGCATGCGCAATTCTCCCCCCCGCGCGCCCCCCCCGGCCCTAGGCGCCTCTCTCTCTCCGCCCGCGCATGCGCCCAGCCGTCTCGCTCTCCGCCCTCTGTGACGCAATGCCGGGGCCGGTTGCCTGGAGGCGAGGCGGGGCCTGGTCCGGCCGCGTGGAGCCTGGCTAGCGTGCGGAGTTGCCGGGCGTCCGGGAGCCTCCTGGGGTGAGTTTGGGCTGGGGTCGCGGTCCCCGCGCGGGGCGGGTGGGAGGAGCCTCCGGGGAGCCGCGCCTCGAGGCCGGGCTGGGGCCACCGGGCTGAGAGCGAGCGCCTCCCCCCCCGATGCTTGGACCGCTCGTGCCGCCCCTGAGCTCGCTCCGGGGGCGGGTGGAGTTCGGTCCCGCAGCAGAGCCCCAGCCGTCGGGCTTCTCCCGCACGCCACTGCAGCGTGCTCGGGGCCTGTGCCGAGCCGGGGGGAGGGCGGCTGGCTGGCTGGCCAGGGCCCTTGGTGGGCGGCCGCTCGGTGGCTTCGGCCCAGGGGGGGGCCAGTCCCGAGCTGCAGGGATCTGCAGTGCCCCTTCTGCCCGTCCTAGGAGGCAGCCAGAGCCCCTGCAGGAGCAGCCCACAGGGCTGCGATCAGTGGCACTCGCTGTTTGCGAGACAAGGAGGGGTGGGGTGAGTTGTATTTCAGTTGGTCCAATAAAAGACAACAAGGAGTCCGGTGGCACCTTAAAGACGAACCGATTTATTTGGGCATAAGCTTTCGTGGGTAAAAACCTCACTTCTTATGCCCAAATAAATCGGTTCGTCTTTAAGGGGACTCCTTGTTGTTTTTGTGGATACCGACTAACACGGCTACCCCCTGATACCTGACAATAAAAGAGATGATCTCACCTTGTCTGGCTAATGCCCTGGGATCGACATGGCTACAACAGCGCTATGATGAAAATAACTTGTTGGGGAAGAGTCAACGTGGTTTTTGTAAAGGGAAATCATGCCTCCCCCATCTACTAGAATTCTTTGAGGGGATCAACAAGCACGTGTCCAAGGGGGATCCAGTGGATATAGTGTACTTAGATTTCCAGAAAGCTTTTGATAAGGTCCCTCACCAAAGGCTCTTAAGCAAAGTAAGCTGTCATGGAAAGAGGGAAGGTCCTCTCATGGATCAGTAACTGGTTAAAAGATAGGAAACAAAGGATAGGAATAAATGGTCCATTTTCAGAATGGAGAGAGGTAAATAGTGGTGTCCCTGAGGGGTCTGTACTGGGCCCAGTCCTATTCCACATATTCATAAATGATCTGGAAAAAGGGGTAAACAGTGAGGTGACAAAATTTGCAGATGATACAAAACTACTCAAGATAATTAAGCCCCAGGCAGACTGCGAAGAGCTACAAAAGGATCTCTCAAAACTGGGTGACTGGGCAACAAAATGTCAGATGAAATTCAATGTTGATAAATGCAAAGTAATGCACATTGGAAAATATCTCAACTATACATATAAAATGATGGGGTCTAAATTAGCTGTTACCACTCAAGAAAGAGATCTTGGTGTTACTGTGGATAGTTCTCTGAAAACATCCACTGAATGTGCAGCGTCAATCAAAAAAGTGAACAGAATGTTGGGCATCATTAAGAAAGGGATCGATAATAAGACAGAAAATATTGGATTGCCTCTGTATAAATCCATGGTACACCCACATCTTGAATACTGCCTGCAGATGTGGTCGCCCCATCTTAAAAAAGATCTATTGGAATTGGAAAAGGTTCAGAAAAGGACAACAAAAATGATTAGGGATATGGAATGGCTTCCGTATGAGGAGAGATTAATAAAACTGAGACTTTTCAGCTTAGAAAAGAGATGACTAAGGGGGGATATTATTGAAGACTATAAAATCATGCCTGGTGTGGAGAAAGTAAATGAGGAAGTGTTATTTACTCCTCATAACGTAAGAACTAGTGGTCACCAAATGAAATTAATAGGCAGCAGATTTAAAACAAACAAAAAGAAGAATTTCTTCACACACTGCACAGTCAGTCTGTGGAACACACTGCTAGAGGATGTTGTGACGGCCAAGACTATAACAGGGTTCAAAAAAGAACTGATAAGTTCATGGAGGATAGGTCTCCAGCAATGGCTATTAGCCAGGATGGCAGGGATGGTGTCCCTAGCTTCTGTTTGTCAGATGCTGGGATTAAGCGATGGGGGATTGATCACTTGATGATTCCCTGTTCTGTTCATTCCTTCTGGGGCACCTGACATTGGCCACTGTCGGCAGACAGGATACTGGGCTAGATGGACCTTTGGTCTTACCCAGTATGGCTGCTCTTATGTACAACTGATTGTTTATTGCAGTTGGAGTCTGTGTGGAAACAGTGAAAGCCTCATGATGTGGCCACGCCAGGACAGGCCTGGGAACAGCCCCAGAAAGAATGTTTCCTCCTTTGGAAAAGGAGTGTCTCGGGGGATGCACGGCAAAAGGAAAGTACCAGCCACAGAGACTGTGGAAGAAAGTGCTCAAGACACCATCCTTGATGCTAAGCTTGTCACTGCTCAGAAGCAACCGCTGGAGAGTTCAAGTGGCATAGCAGGCATTTCTGGGGAGTGCAATCATGATGCTAAAAAGCCTCGGCTCCTGCAAGGAGAGAGTGCCACTGACCAGGGAGCTGTCAGTGAGGACTCCGAGGACAGCGATGGCAATAGCGATTACAGTGATCTGGAGGACTTCTCAGGGGATGATGATGACAAGACAGGTAGCGGAACCGCTGGCAGCAGTGATGAAGAGCCATGTGCTGGGGGAAAAGACATCTCAAAATTCAAAACTACCCCAGAGAGTGATACGAAGAGAGGTAAACACTGATAATAGGAAGTGTTTAATAAACTGTGTTTCAGTGTGACCCATCAGCGGTTCTGAGATCTTCTTTCCATGCTGACTCCTGCTTTTCTCTTTGACGTGCTCCTATCTCACAAGTACTGCTACCATGGTTCAGGGCATTCACACAGCTATATTTTTGTTGGCATAATTTCATGTTAGCCTGTTGACACTTTGCACCCTGCCAGGTACATGCGTTTCATGCTGCCTCACCAATGGTGCCTGGGTAGAGGATGTGGATGTGTTTTCAGTTGCTGTGTGGTATAGTGAGATGTCCTTGGGAACAGAGACCTGGGAAATAGGATGACTGGCTAATCCAGTTGCACAGAGCTGGTCAGACCAGCCTGTCTGCAGTAGACACTTCTTGTTACAACCCAGTTATAGCCTGACAGGCACGTTACAGCTCTGTTCCCCAGCGGGGTCAAACCCACCGGGTTTGGAACCTTGTATGTGGAGTAAACTGTTACAACCTGGTTATAAACTTGTTAAAAATCTGTAGAATGGATAAACCCTTAGGCTGGATACCAGGACCTATGTCCTAATCGTGTAGAATCTTTAAGGATGTAGCCTAAGGGAAACATTGGAAACTTATTATCTGAGTCACTTAAAACTGGACAAAACCTTGGAGCAGGGGTTCTCAAACTGGGGGTCGGGACCCCTTGGGGGGCTGCGAGGTTACTACATGGGGGGTCACGAGCTGTCAGCCTCCACCCCAAACCCTGCTTTGCCTCCAGCATTTATAATGGTGTTAAATATATAAAAAAGTTTTTTTAATTTATAAGGGGGGGTCGCACTCAGAGACTTGCTATGTGAAAGGGGGTCACCAGTAAAAAAAAGTTTGAGAGCCACTGCCTTGGAGAGTCTTTTGTAGAGAATGTTACCACGTTGACCTGAGGATGGATTGGAGCTGAACTAATAAGCAGTTTGATAGTCATGTGCAATGTGTGAGCTCTTAATTAACTATTCGTCTTTCCTCCCCACCCACACCAACCTCATGAATTGAATTTGGGATGGGGGGATGGCTCATGATTTTATCTGAGCTCTTTAAGTAGAGCTCATAAATCTGTAGAATGAAAACCCCGAAGATTTCTGTATTTATTTAATTTCCGTGTGAAGAAAGTTAAGCATTCAGTTTGTCAGGGTCATGGGACAGTAGCCAAGGTTCTGCCACCAAGTGCCTGAGAACCATAGTTGATGTCTGTGAAGTCTTCCGATGTGGATTAGCTAATGAACTGCGAAAACTAGGAAGGTTCCAAAGGATTGAGGTGGTGTATGCAAATATGATCTCCGCCTTCAAA